GTGATCCACCCGCCTCGGCCTCCCAAAGTGCTGGGATTACAGGCTTGAGCCACCGTGCCCAGCCTGTATTTTTTTTTTTTTTTAAAGTGGAACTCCAAAAGTATCCAGAGATTGCGTCTTTCTTTTTACTGCTTCTTACTTCCTCCAAAGGCTCCAGTAAGCCAAAATTATGGCAAAAATCATCACTTACAGAGACTGTACTTGTTCCGTTTCCAATACTCAGTGAATTTAAATTTCAATCCTCCCATTGTTGGCAAAAAGCAAGTGAGTTGTTTTATAAACACACAATTATTTTTGCAGCTTTCCCTAATCCAGATGATCTCCATAGTGTATATTGCAAGCATAAACATTTACATTGATTTTTAAAAAATCATACAGCTAGGCTGGGTGCAATGGCTCAAGCCTGAATTTATTGAATTTATTGATAGAGAATCTTACAATTTGGGAGGCCTAGAATCTTACGCTTTGGGAGGCCAAGACAGGTGGATCACCTGAGCTCGGGAGTTTGAGACCAGCCCAGCCAACATAGTGAAACCCTGTCTCAACTAAATATACAAAAACTTAGCTGGGCATGGTGGCATGTGCCGGTAATCCCAGCTACTCAGGAGGCTGAGAATCACTGGAACCTGGGAGGTGGAGGTTGCAATGACCTGAGATTGCACCACTGCACTCTAGCCTGGGTGGCAGCGAGATTGTGTCAAAACAAAACAAAAACCATACATCTAGATGAAATAGTCATAAAATACACAGCAGTTTTCAGATTTCTCCATTTTTTTCTCATTGCAAATCTCAAATCTCTATCAATAAATTCAACACTTAACAGTTGGACTAGAAAGCAGGGTTGCTGCAACCTATAGGCTGAAGAAATGGGTAGAATCTACAGTCAGTCTTTAGTAACCATGGGATTGTTTCCAGAAACCCCCGTGGATCCCCAAATCCACAGATACTCAAGTCCTTATGTAAAGTGAAGTGATATTTACATAAATCTCCGCACATACTCCCATACACTTTATTTATTACTTTACTATTTTTTTTTTTTTTGAGATGGAGTTTCGCTCTTGTTGCCCAGGCTGGAGGGTAATGGCGCAATCTCGGCTCACTGCAACCTCTGCCTCCTGGGTTCAAGCGATCCTCCTGCCTCAGCCTCCCGAGTAGCTGGGATTACAGGCACCTGCCACCATGCCGCGCTAATTTTTATTTTTAGTAGAGATGGGGTTTCACTCTGTTGGCCAAAACGTACACACATAAACACAGACTATGCATAGCACCATTTGCAGTTGAGAGAAACATAAACATAGGCAAAGATGCAGTGTTAAACCATACTTGCATGAAATTAACGGAAGTAATACTGTACTACTGTAATAATTTCCTAGCCACCTCCTGTTGTTATTGCAGTGAGCTGAAGTGTTGCAAATATTAGCTTAAAATACCAAGTGATGCTAATCATCTCTAGGGAGTTCGATTCTCTGGTAAATTGCGTTGCGCAGTAAACAGTGATTTCTCCTGGTTCTCGTTCATTTTTCATCTTGAGTGCAATATTGTAAACCCTGAATAACACCAGGGGGCCCATACAAAGTGCCACCGGTGAAACTGAAAGTGCTCCCAAGAAGTACAGAAGTCATGACATTACAAGAAAGAGTTGAACTGCTTGTTATGTATCATAGACTGAGGTCTGCGGCTGCAGCTGTCCACCATTTCAAGATGAATTCAGCATTAAGGAGCATTGTAGAAAAAGAAAAAAATAACAAAAAACAGGAAATTCCCAAAGTGGTCACAGTTATGCTAGCAGGCAGGAAATCCTTGCACTTTTTGTGAAATACCTTTTTATCTCATACTGAAATTGCGAGGCCAGGTGTGATGGCTCACACCTGGAAACCCAACACTTTGGGAGGCTGATGCGGGTGGATCACTTGAGGCCAGGAGTTCAAGACCAGCCTGGCCAACATGGCAAAACCCTGTTTCTACCAAAAATACAAAAATTAATGTGGCATGGTGGCAGGTACCTGCAATCCCAGCTACTTGGGAGGCTGAGACATAAGAATCACTTGAACCTGGGAGGTAGATAGAGGTTGCAGTGAGCCCAGATCGTGCCACTGCACTCCAGCCTGGGTAACAGAGCAAGACTCCATCTCCAAAAAAAAAAAAAAAAAAGGAAGGAAGGAAAAAGGAAGGGGGGGGGGGGGGGAGAGAGAGAGAGAGAGAGAGAGAGAGAGAGAAAGAAAATGTAGCTTTTCTGTAGGTGCAGAATTGCTGTAAGAAAGGCATACCTACAGACTCTAATATAATTCTAGAAAAAGTGCAGTCATCTTATGATAACTTAAAGCAAAAATAAGGTGAAGGATATAAAGCTGCAGAATTTAATGCCAGCAAAGGATGGTTTGATAATTTTAAAGAGTTTGGCTGAAAAAAAATATCAAGGTAACAGGAGAAGCAGCTTTTGCTGACCATGAGGCAACAGGTGAGTTTCCAGGTTCCACTGAGAAAATTATTGAGGCGAAAAGATATCTGCCTAAAGAGATTTTTTGTTTTGTTTTGTTTCATTTTTGTTTTTTGAGACAGAGGCTCATTCCGTTGCCCAGGCTGGAGTGCAGTGGCGCAATCTCAGCTCACCGCAACCTCCACCGCCTGGGTTCAAGTGATTCTCCTGCCTCAGCCTCCTGAATAGCTGGGATTACAGATACCCACCACCATATCCAGCTAATTTTTATGTTTTTAGTAGAGATGGGATTTCACCATGTTGGCCAGGCTGATCTCAAACTCCTGACCTCAAGTGATCCGCCCGCCTTGGCTTCCCAAAGTGCTGGGATTACAGGTGTGACCCACACCATGTCCAGTCGTGCAGAGGTTTGCATTGTAGACTAAAATGCCCTATTCTGGAAAAAAGTGCCTCAAAGGACCTTTATAAGTCAGGAAGAGAAGCGAGCAGGAGGACTTAAGGCAGGTTGGGAGAGGCTACCTCTACTGTTGTGTTCAAATGCTGTCAGATTTATGATCAGGCTGACTTTACATAGAAAGCTGCTAACCCCCAAGCCTTACAAGATAAACACCAGCTGCCAGGCTTTCGGTTGCAAAACAAGAAGGCGTGGACAACGAGAACCCCTTTTCTGGATCAGTTCCACTGACGCTTTGTACTTGAAGCTAGGAAGTACCTTGCCAGTAAGTTACTTTGTTATTAGACAATGTCCATGGCCACCTAGAACCCCATAGATTCAACACTGAAGGTGTCGAGTGGTCTCACTGCCCTCAAACACAGCGTCTCTAATTCAGCCTCTAGATCGGGGGTCATAAGGACCTTTAAGGCTCACTACACACTGGGAAGGCCGGGTGCAGTGGCTCCGTCTGTAATCCCAGCACTTTGGGAGGCCAAGGTGGGCAGATCACCTGAGGTCAGGAGTTCAAGACCAGTCTGACCAACATGGAGAAACTCCATCTCTACTAAAAATACAAAATTAGCCAGGTATGCTGGCAGGTGCCTATAATCCCTTCTACTTGGGAGGCTGAGGCAGGAGAATCACTTGAACCCAGGAGGCGGAGGCTGCAGTGAGCCGAGATCACACCATTGCACTCCAGCCTGGGCAACAAGAGCAAAACTCCATCTCAAAAAAAAAAAAAAAAAAAAGTTATACTCAGTTTTTGAACAGCAAGGAAGGTCGGCGCCCCAACCACCACGTGGTCCATGGGTCAACTGTACAATGGCCACACAACACTTCATTCTCAGGGATTCAACATAGTTCTTGGCATGGGGCAAACTCAAGTTTTTACTTTTTGAAACTTTATGACAGTTTTTTTTTCCCCAAATATTTTCTTTCTTTTTTTTTTTTTGAGATGGAATTTTGCTCTTGTTACCCAGGCTGGAGCGCAATGGCGCAGTCTCGGCTCACCACAACCTCCGCCTCCTGGGTTCAGGCAATTCTCCTGCCTCAGCCTCCTGAGTAGCTGGGATTACAGGCACGCACCACCATGCCCAGCTAATGTTTTGTATTTTTAGTAGAGACGGGGTTTCACCATGTTGATCAGGATGGTCTCGATCTCTTGACCTCGTGATCCACCCGCCTCAGCCTCCCAAAGTGCTGGGATTACAGGCTTGAGCCACCATGCACGGCTCCCCAAATATTTTCTATTCTTTTTCTTTTTTTGGTCGGAGGGAGCCAGGATCTCACTGCATCTCCTAAGCTGGACTGCTGTGGCCTCAAGGTCCTGGGCTCCAATGATCCGCCTACCTCAGTCTCTCAAGTAGCTGAGACTATAGGCACACATCCCCATGTCCAGCTAATTAAAAATTTTTTTTTGTAGAACTGGGTCTCGCTATGTTGCCTAGGCTGGTCTTGAACTCCTGGGCTCAAGTAATTCTCCTGTCTAGGCTTCCTACAGTGTTGGGATTATAGGCGTGAATCATCATGTCCAGTCTTTCCCAAATATTGTCTTTTATTTGAGACAGTTTTGCTCTATCACCAAAGCTGGAGGGCAGTGGCGCGATCTTGGCTCACTGCAACCTCCGCCTCCCAGGTTCAAGCAGTTCTTCTGCCTCAGACTCCCAAGTAGCTGGGACTACAGGCACCCGCTGCCATGCCTGGTTAATTTTTGCATTTTTATTTTATTTTATTTATTTATTTAAGACAGAGTTCTGCTCTTGTTGCCCAGGCTGGGTAGCAATGGCACGATCTCGGCTTACAGCAACCTCCGCCTCCCAGGTTCCATCAATTCTCCTCCCTTAGCCTCCCAAGTAGCTGGCATTACAGGTGCCCACCACCATGCCCGGCTAATTTTTTGTATTTTTAATAGAGACAGGTTTCACCATGTTGACCTGGCTGGTCTTGAACACCTGACCTCAAGAGAGCAACCCACCTCGGCCTCCCAAAGTGCTGGGATTACAGGCGTGAGCCACCACGCCCAGCCTCAGCGGGTGCTTTCTTCCCGAGTTTCCCCTCCTCAACTGGGACTACTTATGATTCTCAGCCAAGGCAGTAACACTGAACTTCTATTAAAAAGCTCTGAAGCAGTTTTGGCAAAATAAGAAATTTATTACGTATGACTGGCAGATACATGCTGCTGATATATTATTGTTTGAAGAAAAGCCAAAATAAAAAATAGTATTTTAATTTTAAATACCACATAATTACAGGTCCTGGAGGATCAGAGTTGGGCTCAGGGAATTACCTCATTTATTAGAGAAGCCAGAATGGGCAGAACCATCTCCAAATTCTCTTTTTTTTTTTTTTTGGAGACAGGGTCTCGCTGTCATGCAGGCTGGAGTGCAGTGGTATGATCATGGCTCACTATAGCCTCAACCTCCTGGGCACAAATGATCCTCTCATCTCAGCCTCCCAAGTAACTTGGACTACAGGTATGTACTACCATGCCTGGCTACTTTTTATATTTTTTGTAGAGATGGGGATCTTACTACTTTGCCCAGGCTGTTCTTGAACTCCAGGGCTCAAGTGATCCTCCCACTTTGGCCTCCCAAAGTGCTGGGGTTACAGGTGTGAGCCATTGCACCCAGCCCAAACTTTTTTTGAAATGGAGTCTTGCTCTGTTGCCCAGGCTGTGAGTGCAGTGGCACAATCTCAGCTAACCGCAGCCTCCAAGTCCTCAGCCTCCTGAGTACCTGGGATTACAGGCATACGCCACCACGCCTGGCTAATTTTTTTGTATTTTTAGTAGATACGGGGTTTCACCATGTTGGCCAGGATGGTCCCGAACTCCTGACCTCAGGCAATCCACCTGCCTCGGCCTCCCAAAGTGCTGGGATTACAGGCATGAGCCACCATGCCCAGCCCAAACTTTTTTTTTTTTTTTTTTTAAAACATTGACTTTCAGCTGCATGACCAGATCCCAGCACGGTAGCTCAGAAGCCCCAGGAGGTTGGGTTCACACCCTTAGGGCTGGGACTTTCTGAGCCCTAAGGATGAAAATCTAAGTTCTGAGATGAGTGGAGGGCTTCCCTGAAGGGACCAAGGAGGTCACTGTGGCAGATACAATAGGAAGCAAGAGGTCAGTGGCGAGGAGGGGAGGGGATGGGACAGAGGGGCCTGGGGCTGGACTGAAGGGTTTCGGGTGGGAAGAGAAGAGACGGGAGGGGAGAATTCTTCTCTAGGACATATGTTCCCCCATGCTCAAACCTGTGGGTTTCCCCTCAGTAGGGCAGGGTCCCCCAAAGCAGCAGCTGCAGTAGGTAGATATGATGGAAGAAGCTGCTTCTGGTAGTTTCTAGAACCTGAAGATGAGGGACTTTGATCGGACCCAGGAATTCCCAGTATGCCAGGGAGTTACAAGCGCTTAGTTGGTTAATGAGGGGTCCCAGCCAATGGTCCCAGGCCCTGGAAGGCACAGTCAGGCTGTCTTGCAACAAGGGTGGTCCTGGACTAGGGTGGACGAACTTGCACCGTCACACTGGAGTTGGTCAGACGGGCTCCATAGTGGCCGGCCCAGAACTCTGTATCCTGCCCCCAGTGTTCGAAAGACACAAAGCGGACACCCATCTTGATGTTGGAGAAGACGTGAGTGACCTGTAGGCAGAGGAAGGGCCCAGCCCCGTTGTGCCACAGCCTCCTCTCCAAAGCTGACGTTGGGGCCTTCTGGCAGATGGTTATTTTCTAAGGATGGCTATAAAATCTCCCAAGGGGCACATGTTCTTCTAGAATCTTGTAGAATCTTCCACTCGCTCATCAAAAAGTAGAATCTGGCTGGTGCAGTGTGGCTCATGCCTGTAATCCCAGCACTTTGGGAGGCTGAGGCAGGTGGCTTGCTTGAGGCCAGGAGTTCGAGATCAGTCTGGCCAACATAGCAAAACCCTGTCTCTACCAAAAATACAAAAAAAATTAGCCGGGTGTGGTGGCACACACCTGTTGTCCCAGCTACTCAGGAGGCTGAGGCAGGAGAATTACTTGAACCCAGGAGGCAGAGGTTTCAGTGAGCTGAGATCACGCCACTATACTCCAACCCGGATGATAGAGGGAGACTCCATCTCAAAAACAAACAAACAAAAAGGAAGCGAGGAATCTAATTCTCTTCCCCACAAATCTAGGTGGGTTTTGCTTGTCATCAAGAATGTGGTGAAAATGATATGGAGTGACTTTTGCCAAGGTCAGAAGAAGCAAGGGAGTTTCTACCTGTTTCTCTAGAATCCTCTTCCCCAAGCGAACACATAAGCAATCTGACTGTGTAGGAGCTGCCATGCTGTGAGGAAGCCCAAAGTAGCCCAATCAAGAGAGATCCCACGGAGAAGCTCTGAGACTAAATGCAGGAAGAGATGCTTCCCAGCCAACAACTGCGACGCATGCACCACCCACCACCCTGTCCTGCTGCTCCAGACTTCATCAGAATGTCACTGTCTGAACCTCGAGAGGCGGAAACCAGAACCACCCAGGTGAGCCCTCCTGAAATTACTGACTTACAGAAACCACGAGAGGTAGTCAAAGGACTGTCGTTGATTTTAAGCCACTAAGTTTTGGTGTGATTTGTTTAGCTGCAATAGGTCATCACAGGCCCCCAACATCCTTTCCCCAACCCCCATCGGAGACTCACGTGAAGGCAGACATTGTTGTTCCACCGGGGGATGGGATCAGGCACAGCAGAGAATTTATCTAGAACAGTCTGGTTGGCATCCAGAAGTTGGACAAGGAGTCGATACATACAGCCACTGTCGTGTCGGGCTCCCCACCTGCGGGAGGAGAGAGGCCTTGAAGGCTGGGCTTGCCACCCCATCTCTTTGGGTGTCTGCCTACCTTGTCCTTCCTGCCTTGTCCAAATGCCCTCCCCATCAACACAGATCCTCTCAAGGGACTCCTGGGAGGTGATCTCTGGACGCTTGAATGTGTTGTGTCAGACAGGAGTATCTTTGATGGGGATCCAGGGGGTACTGGATAGTCTACCAATGTGATTTAGGGCAGGGGCTAGCCACACTCATATAGATGGTCCAGGATGGGGGCTGGCCCCTCCAGAAAGACCCACAATGTGACTTGCGGTGGGGGCTGGGAGTCAGGGAACATCAGTGGACCTGGATGCCAAGATTAACCACATGGGCCATCAATCAATCCATCATGTCTATGTGATGAACCCAAGAAACACTCCGAACACGGAGGCTTGAGTGAACTCTGTTGGTCAACAAAATACCATGCATCTTGTCACACATCAATGCCAGCATGGTAACATGTCCTGATGCCATGGCAGAACAGCAGAAGCTCTGTGTCTGACATTTCCCCTGGATGCTGCTCTATGCCTTTCCTTTCTTGGCTGATTTTAATCTGTATCATTTCCCTGTAATAAACCAGAAGTGTTTAGTAGCTTTCTGTGAGTTCTTCCAATGAATTATTGAATTGTGAAGGTGGTTTTGGAAGTCCCTCAAACTTGCAGTTGGTGGAGTTGTAGAGATGGGGTTTTGCCATGTAACCCAGGCTGGTCTTGAACTCCTGGAATCAGGCAATCCTTCTGCCTCTGCCTTCCAAAGTGCTGGGATTACAGGCGTGAGCCATTACACACAGCCAGATTTTGTTTTTAATTATTACGCATTAAATGACGTAATATATTTGTGTTGTTCTGACATATTGTGTCAGAAGTGAGGATGGTCTTAGGGATTCCATCCCTGAACTTTGTAGTGAGCTTGAAACTTCTCACAAATATTGATGCCTGGCTGGGCATGGTAGCTCATGCCTGTAATCCCAGCACTTTGGGAGGCTGAGGCGGATGTATCACTTGAGGTCAGGAGTTTGAGACCAGCCTGGCCAACATGGTGAAACCCTGTCTCTACTAAAAATACAAAAATTAGCCAGGCATGGTGGCAGGTGCCTGTAAACCCAGCTACTCAGTAGAGGCCAAGAGAGGAGAATTGCTTGAACATGGGAGACTGAGGTTGCAGTGAGCTGAGATCTCTCCATTGCACTGTAGCCTGGGTGACAGAGGGAAACCCTGTCTTTAAAATGAAAACCAACCAACCAAACAAAAAATATTGACGCCTGGCTCTCACCCTCAGACACTCAGATTTAATTGGTATGAATGGTGCCTGGGCATTGTGCGTGCATGTGTGTGTGTGTGTGTGTGTGTGTGTGTGTGTGTGTGTGTGTTTTGAGATGGAGTTTCGCTCTTGTTACCCAGGCTGGAGTGCAATGGCGCGATCTCGGCTCACCGCAACCTCCGCCTCCTGGGTTCAGGCAATTCTCCTGCCTCAGCCTCCCGAGTAGCTGGGATTACAGGCGCGTGCCAACACGCCCAGCTAATTTTTTTTTTTTTTTTTTGTATTTTCAGTAGAGATGGGGTTTCACCATGTTGACCAGGATGGCCTCGATCTCTTGACCTCGTGATCCACCCGCCTCGGCCTCCCAAAGTGCTGGGATTACAGGCTTGAGCCACCGCGCCCGGCCGTGTGTGTGTTTTTGACTGAGTCTCGCTGTTGCCCAGGCTGGAGTGTAGCGGCGTGATCTCGGCTCACTGTGCCCTCCACCTCTTGGGTCCTGGTTCAAGCAATTCTCCTGCCTCAGCCTCCCAAGTAGCTGGGATTACAGGCACACACCACCATGCCCAGCTAATTTTTGTATTTTCAGTAGAGACGGGGTTTCACCACGGTGGCCAGGCTGGTCTTGAACTCCTGACCTTGTGATCCACCCGCCTCGGCCTCCCAAAGTGCTGGGATTACAGGCATGAACCACCACACCTGGCCAGCATTGTGTGTTTTAAAAGCTACTTTTATGATGTGCAGCAAAATTTGGAAGCCATCGATTATTACAATCAAATAGTACACCATTGACCACGACAACACAAATATGTTACATAGTTTGATAAGTAATAATTAAAAACAAAATCTGGCCAGGCATGGTGGCTCACACCTGTAATCCCAGCACTTTGGGAGGCAGAAGTGGGAGGACTGCTTTAGTCCAGGAGTTCAAGACCAGTGTGAGTGACATGGTAAAACCCGTCTCTATAAAAAATATATGGCCAAGTACGGTGGCTCACACCTGTAATCCCAGAACTTTGGGAGGTTGAAGTGAGCAGATCACCTGAGGTCAGGAGTTCGAGACCAGCCTGGCCAACATGGCAAAACTCCATCTCTACTAAAAATACAAAAATTAGCCAGGGGTGGTGGTACATGCCTGTAATCCCAGCTACTCGGGAGGCTGAGGCAGAAGAATCATTTGAACCTGGGAAGTGGAGGTTGCAGTGAGCTGAGATGGCACCATTGTACGCCTGCCTGGGCAACAAGTGAAACTCTGTCTCAAAAGAAAAAACAAGAAAAAAAAACAAGAATTTAAAAATTAGACAAGCACAGTGGTTGTACACTTATAGTCCCAGTTACTCAGGAGGCTGCGGTAGGAGGATCACTTGAGGCAAGGTGGTGGAGGTTGCAGTGAGCCGAGATCACGCACTGCACTCCAGCCTGAGTGAAAGAGCAAAACTGTATCTAAAAAAAACCCAAAAACCAAAAACAAAAAAACAAAAAAACTTATTGGAGATATATCTCTTAATGAGATGGAGTTTAGGGGCAGGGTTATGGGGCCTTAAGAGTGAATTCGCTGGCCAGGTGCGGTTGCTCACGCCTGTAATCTCAGCACTTTGAGAATCCAAGGTGGGTGGATCACCTGAGGACAGCAGTTCGAGACCAGCCTGAACAACATGGTGAAACCCAGTCTCTACTAAAAATACAAAAATTAGCTGGGCGTAGTGGTGCACACCTGTAATCCCAGCTACTCAGGAGGCTGAGGCAGGAGAATCACTTGAACCCAGGAGGCAGAGGTTGCAGTGAGCTGAGATTGCACCATTGCACCCAGCCTGAGCCACCAAGAGCGACTCTACCTCAAAAAAAAAAAAAAAAAAAAAAAAAAAGTGAATTTGCTAATGCTCAAAATTTCCAATGGCCATTTTGCCTGGTTCCCCAGTAGTCTTTACATCTGGGGACCACAGTGAGGGTTTTTTTTTCCTGTAAAACTAGAGAAGGGGCATACTGAGAGACTAGGGAAGGAGAATTATATGATGCTTCCCACACAGATGTAATCTATAGCAGATTAATTTTATAATAGGGGGCAGATGGCTGCAGTGGACCTGGAATTTGACTCCCATAAAACCATCTGGGTCATAAACCCCCTGGAAACTCTTCATGCACCCCAGATGCAAGACCATCACTAAAGGGACAAGCTCTGGAGTCAGTTGACTCAGGGCCTTATGCCAGGTTCTGCTAAGCTCAGGCTGTGTGGCCAGGGCAAGTCATCTGCACCCCCCCACACCCTTTTTTTCCAGAGACGGAGTCTCACTCTGTTGCCCAGACTGGAGAGCAATGGTGCTATCTCAGCTCACTGCAACGTCCGCCTCCCGTGTTCAAGAGATTCTCCTGCCTTGGCCTCCGGAGTAGCTGGGATTATAGGCACGCACCACCACACCTGGCTAATTTTTTGTATTTTTAGTAGAGATGGATTTCACCATGTTGGTCAGGCTGGTCTCGAATTCCTGGCCTCAAGTGATCCACCCACCTTTGCCTCCCAGAGTGCTGGGATTACAGGCATGATCAACGGCGCCCAGCCTGTCATCTCCCCTTTCCCCTAACCCCTCAGTTTCCTGCAAAGCTCTGAATGATCTGAGGGCCTGAAATACACCTTCCCACAGGATCAAGTTTCAAAAAATATGCTCACATTTATAAAGTACTTGTTATGTGCTTGCCATGTAATAATTATCTTTGCAAGAGCCCTATCTTATAAACAGAGGAAACAGAGGTATGCTGTGACATGCCCAAGGCCACAAAGCTGCAGAGTTAGGGTTTGAATCCGGGAGGTCTGGCTCCAGAATCTAGGCTCTTAGTCAACTTTGCTGTTTTCTCCTCCTAAGGCAAGGAACATCTCAATCATTCAGACAAGACTGAGCTGGGCCCAAGCCCTCTGTATTGGATCTCATCTTCTGCTTTCCAATTCACATCCCTCTGGGCATGAGTAGAGAGGCTCAGAGTGTGTACTCTGCTAATTTCTAAAACTGTGAATATGGCTGTCACCTCACCTCTCCGAACTTGTTTTTCTTTCTTTCTTTCTTTTTTTTTTTTCTGAGACTTAGTCTCACTGTCGCCCAGACTGGAGTGCAGTGGCACAACCTCGGCCTCCTGGGTTCAGGCGATTCTCCTGCCTCAGCCTCCCAAGAAGCTGAAACTACAGGCGCACACTACCACACCTGGTTAATTTTTTTGTATTTTTAGTAGAGATGAGGTTTCTATGCTGGCTGGGCTGGTCTTGAACTCCGGACCTCAAATGATTTGCCTGCCTCGACCTCCCAAAGTGCTGGGATTATAGGTGTGAGCCACCATGGCCGGCCTGAACTTCAGATATTTTTAAACTGTAAGGAGGGGTTAGGAGGCCTAAGTTAAGTCACCCCTAAAAAGGTCATGTCACATGAAGTTAGTGCGTAGCAAGGGGCTATTTTAATCATCATACTCACCAGTCAGAGACACAAATCTCAATCCTGCCACTATCCAGCAGTTCTGGCCACAGACCCTCCTCCTCTAGGTCCAAGACCTGCTTCTTGCGACACCAGCTGGGAATGGAGACAGGGTAATAAGAACAGGCAGGCCTTTCTCAACAACTGGCCGGACCTTTGGATAGCAGGGGCATTCACCTGAATGAAGTCACGAAGCATGTCTGAGAAGGGGCCCCACGCACGGTTGTCCTGTTTTCCTCTACCACCCAGCCGTCCCCACCATGCTGCACCATCCACTTTCGGAGGCCTTCTGTGAAATAAAAAAGGTTAGTACCCAAGTTCCAGTCGCCTGCCTGCAGGTTCCTAGTGAGACTCCGCCTCTAGCCCCTCCCACGTGCTCACAGTGCAGCTCGCTTTCCCGGCCCTTCCCACGGAGGCCCCGCCCCCTGCCCCCTCTCATCAGCTCCTGGCAAAGCCCTGCTCCTCACTGATTTGCAGCAAAGCCTCGCCCCTCCAGCCCCGCTATCTGGCTCCCAGAGCTGGCCCCGCCCACCGGCTCCCAGTGAAGCCCTGCCCCACCAGCCCGGCACCCTGCCTACGAGGTGCTACCTCGCCCCTCCTACTCCTCCCACCGATCCCAGTAAGGCCCCGCCCCTTCCACTCCTCCCACCGTTCCCAGTGGGGCCCCGCCCCTTCCACTCCTCCCACCATTCCCAGAGAGGCCCTATCCCTTCCACTCCTCCCACCATTCCCAGAGAGGCCCTGTCCCTTCCACTCCTCCCACCGTTCCCAGTGAGGCCCCGCCCCTTCCACTCCTCCCACCGATCCTAGTGTGGCCCCGCCCCTTCCACTCCTCCCACCGTTCCCAGTGAGGCCCCGCCCCTTCCACTCCCACCGTTCCCATTGAGTCCCCGCCCCTTCCACTCCTCCCACCGTTCCCAGTGAGACCCCGCCGCTTCCGCTCCTCCCACCGATCCCAGTGCGGCCCCGCCCCTTCCACGCCTCCCAATGCGGCCTTCCCCCCAGCACCTCCACGGCTCCCAGCATCCTGGACCACCTTTTCTGGGATCCCACCTTGGCCGCAGGGGTTGCGAATAAGGTTGCGTCCGATGGGTCTGCGCGCGCAGAAGCGGCCCAGCGGGCAGGGCCTGGCGTTGCGGGAGGGAGACTGGCAGCTGCGCGCGAGCTGCAGCAGCGCGCGGCCGGTGGTGCTGTGGTCCCGGGCCAAGATCAGCAGCCACAGGGCCTGGCTGTCCACCAGGTCGCGCCAACCCCGGCACACTTGGCGGCAGCGCCCCAGCAGCGTGCGCGGGGGGACGTGGCTCAGCACCACCAGAAGCAGCTCCGGGGGCATTTGGCTCAGGTCCAGCGCCCCTTCGGGTTCCGGCTCCGGCGCGGGGACCCGGGCGGCCCTGCACCTGGAGGCTGAAGCGCCCATGGTCCCCCCGCCAGGCCCGGCTGTGGCTGCGGGAGAGGAAGGATCAGGGCGTCAGGGACCAGCAGCCTCCGCCTGCCCTGCCTCTGCCAGGCGCACCCCTACCTTCACCACTCCTGGGCCCCGTTCCCAGGTCCCCATCCCCCAGCCCGTCCTTGATAGCACCGATATCCCGGAGACCCCGCGGTCTGTGTGTGCGTCCCGAATTGCATGCAGTCGGCCCCACCGACACCCCACCCCAAGTCTTACCCTGGGGCCTGGCGGCGCTCCTCGCCGGAATGCCGCAAGCTCCCCACGCCCCTCTGCACCCTTTTTACTCGCCGGCCCCTCCCCGCTTACAAGCCAGCTTGACCTACCCCTGCATCCTCCTTACTGGCCAGCCCCTCCCACCTACTCCTTCCGCATCTCGAGACCCAACCTGCTTCCCGCGATGGGGCCGGGCCGGCCGAGATCCAGAGGAGCCGGCCTCTCCAGCCGGCCTCTTGAAATGTTCCTAATTCGCTAGCGGCAGTGAGAAGCCTGGCTCCGAGCAACTGTTGTTATTTTGGTCCGGCTTCTGGGTGGGAGGCCTCATATCCGTTAACGCGTTAAAAAATTTCCATCACCTTTAAGGTCGGGCATGGTTATCTTCATTTCACAGGATAAAACGGGTTCCAGCTGCTAAAAATGAGTGCTACAACCAATCATAACATTAACCAACTTTTATGGACGGTTTTACTGCCATCCAGGATGGCAGCCCCATGAAGTGGGTGCTGTTGTGCCTCCACTTCACAGGTGAGAAAACAGACCAGCGGAGGCCAAGTGAATTTGCCTATGATCACCGGCCAGTAAGGATTTGAATCCAGCCAGCCTAGCTCCAGAATTCCTGATTTTAACCTCTATATCAGCTCTGTCCAATAAAAACACAATTGTGGCTGGGTGTGGTGACTCATGCCTGTAATCCCAGCACTTTTGGGGGCCAAGGCGGGTGGATCGCTTGAGGTAAAGAGTTTGAGATCAGTCTGGCCAACATGGTGAAACCCATCTCTACTAAGAATACAAAAATTAGCTGGCCGTGGTGGCAGGTGCCTGCAATCCCAACTAATTTGGAGGCTCGGGCAGGAGAATTGCTTGAACCTGGGAGGCTGAGGTTGCAGTGAGCAGAGATTGCACCGCTGTACTCCAGCCTGCGCAAGAGCGTGAGACTCTGTCTCAATAAACAGAAAAAACAATTATGAAAGTTGATTATATGAATTGGATCCTTCTCGTCATACTCAACTAAAACAAAGTTGAGAGGCCAGGGGGAAAGAAACACTCAGGGCAGATACCATTTGCCCCAATAATGTGATTCTATGCAGGGCTGGCTGTTAAAACTGCCAGGTGTAACCTGGAACCAGTCTAACTGGTACCGAAACAACCTGCTGTGACTCTAAGACTAGTTTTCCCTCTGCTGTCACTTACCAATCAGAACTTGCCAGCTCCCCAAAACATCGATAGTGTCAAGGAACTTTCTTGCAAAACAATACCTGACATTTCTTATGTTAAAAAACCCTCTAACCTCTTTGCTCTTTGAAAGTACTGAAGACCACATGGTCTGTGTGCATGCCTCAAATTTCGAGTCTTGCTTCCCAAATAAAACATACATTATTATTATTTTTGAGACAGCAAAGACTCTGTCTCCCAGGCTGCAGGTCAGTGGTGCGAGCTCGGCTCACTGCAACCTCTGCCTCTTGAGTTCAAGTGATTCTCATGCCTCAGCCTCCCCAGTAGCTGGGATTACAGATGTGCACCATCATGCAGGCTAATTTTTGTATTTTTAGTAGAGAGGGGGTTTCACCATGTTGGCCAGGCTGGTCTCAAACTCCTGACCTCAGGTGATCTGCCCGCTTTGACCTCCCAAAGTATGGGGATCACAGGCATGAGCCACTGCACCCAGCCCAAATAAAACATTTTAAATTTAGAGATTTTTGTCTCGATGTCTCTGTTTTATTTGGCTTTGCATAATTTGAGCCATATACATAATTGAAAACATCAACAAACAAAACCAGACATAGATGATTCCCCACAAAGAACTTACCTTCTAGAGGGAGAGACACGATAAACAGTTGAATAATGAGCAAATTACATAATATCAAGGAAATAATTTAAAGCCTCCAGGTCGGGCACGATGGCTCGTGCCTGTAATCCCAGCACTTTGGGAGGCTGACGCGGGCAGATCACTTGAGGTCAGGAATTCAAGACCAGCCTGCCCAACATGGCAAAACCCCGTCTCTATTAAAAATACAAAAATTGGCCGGGCGCGGTGGCTCAAGCCTGTAATCCCAGCACTTTGGGAGGCCGAGGCGGGTGGATCACGAGGTCGAGAGATCGAGACCATCCTGGTCAACATGGTGAAACCCCGTCTCTACTAAAAATACAAAAATATTAGCTGGGCATGGTGGCTCGTGCCTGTAATTCCAGCTACTCAGGAGGCTGAGGCAGGAGAATTGCCTGAACCCAGGAGGCGGAGGTTGCGGTGAGCCGAGATCGCGCCATTGCACTCCAGCCTGGGTAACAAGAGCGAAACTCCGTCTCAAAAAAAAAAAAAAAAAAAAAAAAAATACAAAAATTAGCCAGGAATGGTGGCACATACCTGTGATCCCAGCTACTTCGGAAGCTGAGACATGAGCATGACTTCAACACGCGAGGCAGAAGTTGCAGTGAGCTGAGATCTCACCATCGCACTCCAGCCTAGGTGACAGTGAGATGACATCTTAAATAAATAAAAACCTCTTTTTGACCTTCTAAGAATTCTCTCTACAAATGCAGAAAAGAATTAAATGGGGCCCAGCATAGGGGCTCACATCTGTAATCCCAGCACTTTGGGAGGCCAAAGCAGAGGATCCCCTGAGCCCGGGGGTTTGAGACCAGCCCTGGCAACACAGTGAGACCCTGTCTCTACAAAAAGTTTAAAAAGTAGCTGCATAGGGTGGTGTGCACCTGTAGTCTCAGCTACTTGGTAGGCTGAGGTGGGAAGATGGCTTGAGCCAGGGAGGTTGAGGCAGCAGTGAGGAGTGATCATGCCACTGCAGTTCAGCCTGGGCTACACATCGAGACCCTGTCTCAAAAAAAAAAAAAAAAAAAAAAAAAGAGCGAGAGAGAATGAAATGGTTGTATTAGTGCATACACATTAAACTAGCCTGTACTGTGCATTTGCCCTGATGAACAATGTGTGTTAAAAAGTGATTAGTGGGCCTGCGCAGTGACTCATGCCTGTAATCCCAGCATTTCGGGAGGCTGAGATGGGTGGATCACAAGGTCAGGCATTTAAGACCAGCCTGGCCAAGATGGTGAAATCCTGTCTCTACTAAAAATACAAAAATCAGCTGGATGGGATGGCGTGCACCTGTAATCCCAGCTACTCGGGAGGCTAAGGCCGGAGAATTGCTTGAACCTGAGAGGTGGAGTTTACTGTGAGCTGAGATCACGCCACTGCACTCCAGCCTGGGGCACAGAGCAAGACTCCGTCTCAAAAAAAAAAAAAAAAAAAAAAAAAAAAGTGATTAGTGCTATGAAAAATTAGACCAGAGAGAGAAAGAAAATGGGGCATAATGAGGCTGGGTTGGGTGGATAGGAGAGGGAGAACATGAATTAGGAGAGATGGATGAACTATTATGCTGGTCTCATTTCTTCTCAATATGTATATTTTTATTTTAAAAATTTCATTTCTGCTGGGTGCGGTAGCTCATGCCTGTAATCCCAGCACTTTGGGAGACCCAGGTGGGTGGCTCACCTGAGGTCAAGAGTTCAAGACCAGCCTCACCTACATGGTAAAACCCTGTCTCTACTAAAAAGACAAAAAAAAAAAAAAAAAAAAAAAAAATCAACCAGGTATGGTGGTGCACGCCTGTAATCCCAGCTACTTGGGAGGCTGAGGCAGGAGAATTGCTTGAACCCAGGAGGCGGAGGTTGCAGTGAGCTGAGATCACACCATTGCACTCCGGCCCGGGCGACAAGAGCAAAAATATGTCTCAAAAAAATTGCTTATATCTATATTTTTGAGACTGGGTCTCACTCTGTTATAGCTCACTTCAGCCTCAAACTCCTGGACTCAAGCAACCCTCCTGCCTTAGCCTCCTGAGTAGCTGGGACTAAAGGTGTGTGCCATCATGCCCAGCTAACTTTTTTCTTTCTTTTCCTTCTTTCTTTTTCTTTTTCTTTTCTTTTCTTTTCTTTTTCTTTTTTTTTTAGGAGAGACAAGTTCTTGCTGTTGCCTAGGCAGGTCTTGAACTCCTGAGCTCAAGTGATCTTCCCGCCTCTACCTCCCAAAGGGCTGGGATTATAGGCGTGAACCACTGTGCTCACTAAAACTAATATGTGAGTTTCAATGTAATGGGTAAGCAGTGGGAATCTTTTTGATAATGAGATACAATGACCCAACTCTATTATTATTATTATTATTTTTGAGACATAGTCTTGCTCTGTCACCAGGCTGGAGTGGTGTCACAATCTCAGCTCACTGCAACTTCCATATCCCGGGTTCAAGCAATTCTTCTGCCTCAGCCTCTCAAGTAGCTGGGACTACAGGTGCACACCACCACGCCCACCTAATTTTCATATTTTTAATAGAGACAGGGTTTCGTCATATTGATCAGGATAGTTTCGATCTCTTGACTTCATGATCTGCCCAGCTTGGCCTCCCAAAGTACTGGGATTACAGGCATAAGCCACCGCACCCAGCCATATATGAATTTTTAAGAGCTTTTTGAGACAGAGTCCCACCTTGTCACCCAGGCTGGAGTGCAATGGCTTGACCTTGAACTCCTGATCTCATGTGCTCCGCTCACCTCAGCCTCCCAAAGTGCTGGGATTACAGGCATGAACCACCACACCTGGCCTGAATTTTTTAACAGTTAAAGGGTTTAAAAAATTTAAGTAGGTTGGTCAGGCACAGTGGCTCACGCCTGTAATCCCAGTACTTTGGGAGGCTGAGGCAGGTGGATCACCTGAGGTCAGGAGTTTAAGACCAGCCTGGCCAACACGGTAAAACCCCCATCTTAAAAACCCCCTACTTAAAAAGTTAGCTGGGTGTGGTGGCATACACCTGTTGTCCCAGCTACTTGGGAGCCTGAGGCAGGAGAATTGCTTGAACCTGGGAGGCAGAGGTTGCAGTGAGCCAAGATTGTGCCACTGCACTCCAGCCTGGGCAAGAGAGTGAGACTTTGTCTCAAAGAAAAAAAAAGAAAAAGAAAAAAAAAATTCAAGTAGGTCAAAAGGGCAGATACTGGAAGTCAGTTTCCTTTTCCAGTACTCACTTCTCCTCCCAGAGGAAGACTCTTGGTCTTCACCCAAGTACATCACACCCAGATGTACATTCACCAATCCTTCC